CTCTCTCTCTCTCTCTCTCTCTCTCTCTCTCTCTCTCTCTCTCTCTCAACCCAAGAAAAAGAAGAAGAAAAATTGTATACACGTGATGATAGAGGACCCATAACCATACTCTGGAGAAATATATATGCATCCTACCCACAAGTAATAATTACGTATTGTATACGACCACTCGCAGCGAATAGACAAGTACACCATTTATGCTCTAGGCTTCTTCATGTGCAACCAATTTCAAATGTACTCCCTCCTGAGTCCTAACCGATCTGAAAAGCAAGCAATAGTTTATCCGCCGCCCAATCGCATACACCCAGTACACCAAGCACGCATGTCAAGATACCAAGCAGCAAACACGATTCCTTTTCGGAGACGATCCGACAGAAATCAACCCTCGCAAAAGCAAAGCAACACTTCCAACCAGAGGTACAGGACCCTCCACCTACACCCAGAATCCCAGATGATCCAAACATCAGTCGTGCAGAACATCCCTCGCCCGTTCTCTACACACAGTCGTGAATAGCCCAAATAGACTAGGAGGGTGGCAAAACAAACAGTACACAATGCTACACATGCCTTCCCTAAAGTCGGCAGTACCGAAAGAGTACAACAGTGTGTGAAAGTCTCTCAATGATGGAACCAGAAGCGTCCCCCTCTACGGCCTCTACTCTTATGCTGGCGATTCGGAGCGACTGCCTTAACCGGTGTCTGCTGGCGGCAACGCCCTCATTTCCTCCTCCGTTTTGCAAAACGGAATCCGTTTTGCAAATCGGAGGGGGATACACACAACGGCATGCAGACATCAAGGTCGGAATGGGAAATGCAAACGTTGGGTGTTAGAGAGACATACGACCGTCTTTCCGCGAACATAACGCACCTTGATAAGGAAAGCATGGAAGCGATCTCTCCGGTCCGGTACAGCCATCAAAAGGGTGCGTTGTGTTCGGGGGGAAGACGGTAGTGTACGAGACAGGATGGCTRTGCGCATGCTACGTCGAAAAGGTGCAAAGGGTGCGAAGAAAAAGACGAGCAACCAGACGTCAAACAGCAGCCCGATAAATGAACGAGCGAGCCCGTACCTCACAGCGGTGACAGCTCCTTTGGCAGACCGGAAAGCCAGAAGCTATGGCTCTGTAGGCCAGGAGCACCACTTCGGAGACCGGGAGACCCCGTATGAATGGAACGTTGGCAAGTCGGCAATCGACCCCGAACGACGGACTGTATAGACATAATATGATAATAGAGTACTGCAGCACTGATGCACCGCAACTTGCAAGGCTAATTGTTTATCCACAAGCGTTGCTCGCAATTTATAAATGGAATCATCGTCTCTAAAGAACCAACGCGACTCTTCGACGCAGGCAAGGAGGGGGCTGCACAGCAAGAGAAACAGAGAGAGAGAGAGAGAGAGAGAGAGAGAGAGAGAGAGAGAGAGAGAGAGAGAGAGAGAGAGGGTTTGGAGAGGGCGTCGGGGAGAGTACGACGTACGTCCCAAAACGTTTCTGTTCAGGCACAGGCCATGAAACGTGGTCATTGAGTCATTGGTGCCACCCAACGGACATTCTGACAAGGTCATTTGCATCATCGTCATACACTCAGCCTCAGGGCTCCGGGGCAATCGGCAGATTTCCATGTCCTTTTGCCCTGTCATATTCCAGGTCTGCTTATCTCATGGCTACGCCCCAATGCCTGGCTGTGGTTCCTCAGCTAGAAAATCAAAGTCATGGCATGCAAGGCATTGCAAGGGGCTGTGACTCTCGGGAAGTACTGCGGCGCCCTTTCTCTGCATGTCCATGCAGGCAAAACGGGCCGTTTTGCCTGCCACTGCTGCCAGTGGATGGATGGCCCGCAAAACGACACCCCGGAAGAGTCATGGCACTTCCGGAGAGACAGTGAGAGTAGCAGAAGCACGGACGCCGCTACGTTTTTTACTTTCTAGCTGGGAAACGTACTGGGGGGGGAATCAACTTAGATGACCAACGTGGCTGAAAGTTTCACACACACTCATGTATCTACCTGGTGATGAGCTGATGATGAGCTGATAATGAGCTGATGTTGAGCGGATTATGAGTTTCAATCCCAAACAGGGGATACAATGATGGTTGATGCTCAATCTTTGCACTTAAGACAGTATAGTGTGCCTTACTTTCACCACTGCCCCTGCAAGTTTTTAGAAATAACTATTTTCTTTGAGCATTCCATCTTATTCCCATGCCATTGACACACTGGCCGAAATTTGCGACGCCCTGGAGGGCTGGGGCGTGGAGAGAGGTTGAGAAGCAGGGACATAAAACAAACTCGCACTGGCGGCCTGGGGCATGAAATCAATTTGTACGCCAGTAGCACAAAAACGTTTCCAGAAATGACAATTACGGGAGAAGAAAGGGAAATTCAATCGCAAATGCAAATGTGGCCACAAGCTCCCTTCTTGCCAAACCTGCTCGGTTCCCAAGCGACAAGTGGCGTTATTTCCGTCTCTGCCTTTTTTCCTTCGCCACAGCACTTTTTCTTTTTTTAATAAAACCTACGCTATATTCTTCTCTCAAATCTTCCATCATCTTCCAAATTCTTTGAATTCACCCTCACTACCGACGTACCACTACTCCTAAGGCTTATGCAGGGGACCCATGCCTGCGAAGAAAGCTTATTGTCTCCCTCCAGCCATCAGAGGGGATGCACGTTGACCTTGGACAGCTGCATTATCTCAAGGGATCCTGACTTCAACCTGTAACAAATGAAGTGGAAGGAGAATGATTTCACTCTCCTTCTACAGAGGACACCTCTCTCATCAGGGTGTTGCCCATTTACAGAACACTGACAAGGAGAATGATATCGCGAACGAATTCAAACACCGTGAACAGGTATGGATCCACCACTTGGCACTCGCCATTCTATGCACTTGGAGACAGACAGTGGAAGTTGTGGACAGTCTGGAGACAGACCCGATACCTAGGAAATCCCGACATTGGGCCTCACTCCACTAATGTCCGCTATACAAAATTTTATATAGTTGGTGGACAGGTCTCAGTATCGTAGAAAACCCTCGGATCGGGGCATCGCTCCGCTAAGGCCTCGCCACACCAATGTCGAGACATCACGAATTCGACATATGTCAGGAAATTTTCGACATTTCCTCTTTCGACAGAAAAACCCTCTTCGCCACACAGCATGTCGAAGTGAAGAACTCCCGAGTCGTACGCACAAAAGAGACAAACTGGGGTGAAGATAGGACAAGCATTGGTGCGCTCTCTTTTTCGACATTCGGGCAAGACTTCAACATCCCATCCGAGGACTGTTGAAAATGTCCAAGTTGCAGGCCTGCAGTGGAAAAGAGCCCCTCTCGAGAGGAGCTGTAGAAACCCTTTCCCTGACAGGCAGTGACAGCTCCTGAGCGTTTTTTGCATCTCGGATTTCGACATGCTGTGTGGTGAGTTTTCGACATTGGTGTGGTGAGGCCCTAACTGTACACTATAGAACTGTCAAAAATGCAGTTTTCGACATTGGTGTGGCGAGGCCCTAACTGTACACTATACAACTGCACAATTCTATCACTACGAGACACCGCCGCAGCACTACAAGACACGGCCTCGATGGCAACTTGGCCGCCCAGACTCCAGGCTCGCTGTCCAAAAGGTGGAGGGTCAGTAGGAGGCTCGCCACACAGGCTGTAGAATGTTGAAAATTTTCAACAGGTGTCACAAAATCTTCGACAGTTGGGTGGTCTACAGTTTCCCCCCTCTTCGCCACATAGCCTGTTGAGGTGCAAGGTTTTTGGACATGGCCAGGCGGACGGGTGTCAGGGAACAGTCCCTGACAACGCCAATTCGAACCTGACAACGCAAATTTGAACGCAATTTTCGAAAGGTCGACGGCGGGCCACTGTCGAATTTCCGTCACCTGCAGGCTGGAGGAAAAGATCGCTGGAGGGCGACTGTCGAAAGTACCATCCTGACACCTGTCGAAAGTTTTTTGAGCCGCAATTCTTCGGAAGTCTGTGTGGCGATGCAAAATTGTCGAAAACCTGGTTTTCGACAGCCTGTGTGGGAAGCCTCTAGGTTCCTACGAGGACCGTCCACAAAGAGATTTGTGCAGGCTGCAGTGGGAGGTATGCAAAAATGGACAGACGCTATTTCTGACAACTGTCCAACCCATTTCACACACGGATAGTGGACAGTAAGTGGATGGATGTCCCACTGTCCATGTTTGTATAGTGGATAGTACTACAGTAGTGGAGCGAGGCCGATTCTCAAGCTTGTGCAGGGAAGGAGAATGCCATACGGCTGAGCAGAGAGGGGAAGAAGGTGGTGGGTTCTGCGGCTTCTGCCATTATCATGTGCAATCTCCACTGCCGTCTCTGCTTCCCAACGGACCTCAGTTGCTTTTGGGCCTCGCTCCACTGGATACTTTCTTGCCAGAATACATTCTCAACGTTTCGTACGAATGCACCTGGTCCCTCAAGCTTCCAAATGCATGTACAGGGTTGTGTAGTGGAGCGAGGCCCTTTCTCAGACCTCGAGCCAATGTATTTGACCCACAGGTCAGTCCAGTCACGTGCCCGGGTTCTTAAAGGCAATCAGGAGACTTATCTGGTTTTTGCAGGTGGGGAGCACGCCTCTCAACTTCTTCTTCTTGCCAATTTAAAATTGCGCCCAGACAGACCAGCTGACATGAGCTCTTTTTGCCGCTTATCTCTTTCGAAACTCAAAACCTGCCGCACTTGGGCCTCTCTGCACTACTCTCCACATGCACAAAAGACAAAAAGTATGCCAGTGTATCTCTTCATGTTCTGGTGGAAGATTATCTCTTCACGTTCCGGCGTAAGATTCATTCTCAGTTTTCACATTCCGAGAGTAGTGCAGCGAGGCCCCTTCAAGTTGTTCGTATTTGGAGCTTCTTTACCACTCATTTCTGATGTCCAGAGCACACTCACAAGCGCAGACAGACTACAGTTTCATATAGAAGGGCAATGGGCAACTTGGGACATACTAGGGCCTCGCTCCACTACTGTCCACTATACAAAAATGGACTGTCACAGTGGGACGTCTCTGCACTTCCTGTCCACTATCCGCGTGTGGAATGGCTTGGACAGTTGTCAGAAATAGCGTGGAAAATGGACAGCCTGCACAAATCGTTTCATGGACACTCGTCGTAAGAACCGACAGACCGTTTTGGACAGCGAGCCTGGAGTCTGGCGGACAAAATGCGATAGAGGCCATGTCTTGTAGTGCTGCGAAGGTGTCTCGTAGTGAACTCACGAATTGTGGAGTTGTATAGTGTGCACTCAGTGGAGCAATGCCCGGTTCCGTTCCGAGCCCAAGGTTTTCTACGATACTGAGGGCATACTCACATGGGGACCAAAAGTCTGAAAAATTTGAGGCATTTGGGTCGGCTTTTTTTTGGCATCTGGTCCCCCACGGGCGGACCTCGTCCAGAAAGGACGAAGTAGGGACCCTGACACTTTGCATTCAGGGCAAGTGCACCCGATCACACGGGGTGGACCAAACAAAAAGATGGATTGTTTTAATTTTCATTTTCACGCTAGTATAAAGCTTGGGCCTTATCTACAACGTAAATGTTCCTGGTCACACTTAGTTGTTTGGCGGGCTGTCTTCTTTGTCTACGATTCTGTTCAATTAGCAAAAACAGAAAAAAAAACGAAAGGTAATTTGAGACCACCTCCGGAGGTGGTCTC